TTTCTGTCCAATGGAATCTGGATATAGAGAAAAGAGACCAGGGAGAGGATGGGGTAAGCAGGATAACGGCATCACAATTATTCAAACATTTACACAGAAAAACTGTTTAAATTTCACTTAAAAAGTAGAAATTAACTTACAATACAATAGATTTAATACATGAATGCAATGATTGTTACATTTGTATCATTTCTAACCCTGAAGCCAGACATCACATAGCATCCAGGAAGGGGAGTCTGTGAGTCTACCTTGCTTATCTATTATGGGAAATGCTTTTCAATAAGCACAATTTCCAGGGAGTGGAATTCAACACATTTATAAGTGCTCGGAAAAGGGAAATCACTCTAGTGTGAATAAACAAAAGTGTAAAATGCCGGAGGTCAACAGGATAATAGACCCAGGAGAACTGTTCTGAAAGCTTTGAATTGTCTGTCTGATCCTGCCGTTACGTGTTATAACTATTCATCGTTACTCACTGTTCCGGTGTTCGAGTTCCCAGACTGAGGCTTACATGGCATAAAGTGGGTTCAGTTCTGGATTTATTACTTAATGAGGAGACTCTGTCAATGGGTAGCAGAGCAGGCTGCAGATGTCCATTCATTTCCCAATTTCCATACGTTTAAACACAAGCCCATCTATAACTATTTGTAGGGTCAAGTCTTGAGCCTGTAACTCACATGGTGAGCAGCTATTCTCACAGGTAATCCCATTCATTTCACTGGGACTGCTCGTATGAGTGCTCTGCTGTGGGGATAAGGGCTTCCAGTCTTGCCTTAAAGCTGTTTCTTTTTAAAATATTTTGCTCGGGGAAGTGTAGTAGCTCATTCATTCTCCTTCCTTTTTAACCAGGTTGTACCAATGAATCCGGAGTGCAAATGGCCTGTATGACCTGAAATCTTCAGCTCTGCAATGTTGTCATAATACTGCCACCTACCGGCCAACGGAAGAGTTGTCCACAAAATTTAGGGCATGAACAGCCTGCACAAGCAGATGTTGGAGCGTTCCCCAGGGAGTGTGGTGCTACACGACCTGATGCTTCTTCCCCTTCTCGTATCTATGTCCCCTTTCTGCCCCCCAGTCACATGTTTCAAGCTGTACTTGATGTTGTGGAGCCAGTTTACAAACATGAGGCCTTTCAGACTATGGCAGTTAGGGTTACCATATTTTAATTAAAAAAAAGGAGGACACTCCACGGGGCCCCCACCCCGCCCCAACTCTGCCCTTTCCCCGCCACCAGCCACGCCCAACTCCGTCCCTTCCCCATCCCGCCCCTTCCCTTCCCCAAAGTTCCCGCCCCAACTCCGCCCCCTTCCCTGAACGCTCCGCCCCCCTAATCCTCTCCCTCCCCTGCTTCCTGCGAATCAGATGTTCGCAGGAAGCCTGAAACAGGGAGGCAGCAGGTAAGCTGGGGCTGGGGCGGTGGTGGGGGAGGGCGCAAGGAGGTGCGGCCCAGTCCGGCCGAGCGGCTCCCTCCGGCGGCCGGCCGGCCCCAGCCAAGAAGCTCTGGCCCCAGTGTCTCTGGCCCAGCTCGGCTCGGGCCCTGGGGCGCCGGCCCTGGTTCCGGCTGAGCGGCTCCGGCCCGCCCTGGCCCCGGTGGCTCCGACCCAGCTCGGCTCGGGCCCCGGTTCTGGCCCTGGCCGAGTGGCTCCGGCTGGCGGCCGAGCACCCTGAGCCCCGGTCTAAGCGGCTCTGGCCCAGCTTGGCTCGGGCCCTGGTTCCGGCCGAGCGGCTCCAGCCCGGCACCGGCACCGGCACCGGCACCGACCGGCGGCCGAGCACCGCCGGCCCCAGCGGCTCCGGCTCCAGTCTGGACCCAAGCCCCACGACCCCTCCCTATTTTCCCGGACATGTCCGGCTTTTTGGAATTTCCTACGAGATGGGGATTTGAGGACCAAAAGGCCGGACATGTCTGAGAAAATCCGGACGTATGGTAACCCTATGGCAGTACAGCCAGGCTCGGCGATATTTACACCACGGCCGGAGTTCAGCTCAGCATTTGTATCCTCTGTGTGATCACTGTAACCCGAGGTATTATCTCATCCTACACCAGGTTACCCATATAGTGTATAGATAGCACATGGGCCTTATTAAGGCAGGACAGGCTTGTTATTAAAGTACTGGATCGGTGGTTATGAGATAAATGTTGAGTTCCTGGCTCTGCGATAGTCTCCCTGTGCAACACGGGACAAGTCTTTAACCTTTCTGTGTCTCATTTCCTCACTTGTTACATGGGGAACCCAGACCACCCAGTGAATAGTTTTATGCAGAGAAAACTGTAGTGACCCTCGGGCCTCTGTGTATATTTTAGTAGTTATGTGATTATTCAAACACTTTAGCTCTTTCAGTGTTCTCTTATTCACTGTATGTTCACAGATGGAAAATGTTACCCTCTTTCGCGTTTGACAGAACATGTGAAAACTAGACAGTTGTATCTGCAGGAAGCAGTAACTGCAACGTGTGCTGCAGAGAGGTTTTTGTACTGGTCTGTATCACTGTGAGAGGGTAGCTGCTACTCTGCTGGCAGTAATAATCTCCGGCATCTTCAGCTTCTACGTTGCTGATGGTGAATGTGAAATCAGTGCCAGATCCACTGCCGCTGAACCGGGCTGGGACCCCCGACTGGAGGTTGGTGGCGAGGTAGATAAGAAGTTTGGGAGCTTGTCCAGGTTTCTGTTGGTACCATTGTACGCTACTGCCAACACTCGTACTGGCTTTGCAGTTGATAGAGACTCTCCCTCCCACTGGCACTGCCAGAGATTCCGGGGACTGAGTCATCACAATTTGCCCAGAGGAGTCTGGATGAAGAGAGAGGGTGGGAAGGGAATGAACAATGAGACAATGCTGGAGATGACAAGTGTTCAAACGCTGAAACACAGTTTCAATTCTCCAATGTGAATTTATAGTAAATACAACAGTAGAATATTAATTAAATAAGTCTGAATGGCAGCATTTCTTATCTTCTGTCACAATGATGTTTCACATTTTACCATTTTTATTGATTGATTTCTTACCCTGAATCCAGAGAACCAGCAGCCAGAGAAGGGGCGTGCGTGCGATCATCTTGCCTGACCGTGGTTGGAAAAGCTTATGCATAAGTGAGTCGTGGAAAATGAAATGTTTATATGTGTTCAGCAGCTCATTGATGACACCTCATCCCTATGCAAAATGCATGT